CAGCTCCAAGCCAGGCTTCCGGAGATGCGGGTAAGATGGGTAACTCTGTGGATTTCCACGAGAAAGAATGGCATCCTTTGAGAGGGGTCCCCCAACACCTTCCGCCCACCAAACACAGGGCACTGAGTGTCTTGGGGAAAGGTTTCCAGCAAATCCCAGGTTGTCGGTTCGCCCGCTTTTGGCAGGCAACCAACCGTTGTCCTTTTAGTTTTCAGGTGGGAAACCCCTAAGTTACCTACTATGCGGTAAATGGATCCACTGGTGCTTACATAGCCCTGCCCATAACCTCACAAAACAGGGTAGAATCACCTACTTTAGCCAATCGGAATTGATTTGTGGCGCCGCTGTTTCTGGGGTACCGCCCTTTGGTTGGCTTAAAGAGAAAAAACAATTTTTGAGAGTCTCTGGGAACCCGCGAAATGGGCGGCGTCCTTTTGCATTTGGTTTCCCTTTGAAGCCAACTTCAAACGGGGGGGGGTTCCCCCCGTAGGGCTAACCCATGGCCAGAGCCCCTTTTGAGGCAAGGGAAGCCAAAGCAAACCACGGGAGATCTGCTCACGTGAGCAAGGGGCAAATATCGATTATCAGAAGGGCCTGGGCGAATTGGGGGCAACAATCCCAAATCGGTGGACTGTCAGCGACTCATGTGATCCCAAAACACACGGGCGATGTGGCGCGCTTGTGACAGGCATCTTGTCGTGATTTCTTTGGAGCGATTTCGTGGTCTGGAGTCCCTGGTTTATCCATCTCTCCCACATTTCGATGGCAATCCGTTCGGATCCAAGGCGCCAATCGCTCTTTCTCCAGCTTCTCCTCTTCCGCGCGCACCTTCGCAGCTGCCTGCTCACCTTTGGATGGCGCCAATCTGGGTCAAAATACAGGGGTCTCAAAAATCCCTGGAAACCAAGGTAAAAAGGGCACCCTGAGAAAAAACAATGACTTTGGGTACCCGTTTCGCTCTTTTAACCATATGCTTCACCTGTAAATGGTGGATTAAAGGCAACCCACCCAGGTCACAAAAAGTACTGCGAGAACCCCTCAAACATGTTTTCACTTTGCAAGACCCTTCCAAAGAAAGGAACCTGATTCATCTAAGACCCAGACCTGTGGACATGGCATGGCGATTTTCTGGGGACCTGGTGCACTGCAACTCTTCGGGTCTTTTGACGGCTCAGCTCAAGTTGCCAGGTTGCGTGCTCTCTCCTCATGAATCCGCTGGAGACGTGCATGTCCCGGCTCCTAATCCAAATTTCACCAAGCGAGAAAGGCCTGCGGCCTTTGTTCCCTTTGAGACGCGGAAACACCAGCGAAACGCTGCTTGTCAGGGTCCTTGGCTCGAGGCAACTCAAGATGTGAAATCCAACTTGTTGAAAGGTGGATGAAAGGGGTTGCACGGGCCTGGGGAGACCCAGGGTTGGGCCAGCCCCCTGTTCAAAGATGTTAAAACCAACATTTGTTTAAACAACCTCCTTGTCTACCTTTAAAGAATTTGGACCAGGGCCTGGTTGTTTAAACCAGTTTTGCCTCAGCTACTGACCCATCCACGGCCCGTGCACCACTGTCCTCAGCCTCCGGCCACGCCTCGCACAGCGAGCGGAACCATTCCTCGGAAGGCGGAGAGTTGACTGCTGGTTGCCCCGGTGTTTCTCACGGGGGGCGTCCGTTTGGCTAGCATTCCAAAGGCAAACCAAGGGGACAGCTAATATGAGAAACTCTCATATGGATTACCATATACGTCTACATAATAGACATATTGATGTTTACAATATGAGTGATATGTGTATATATGTACATATATGCAGGTGCGTGCATGTCTGTGTGTACGTGTACATTATATATATATATATGTATATATATATATATATATTATGTGCATTCAACCCCTTGACCCTTTTTCCAAGCACATTGCACAAGTTGATCCACAGAGTTGTGAAACAGCTTTTAAAGATAGGAATCCCGTGCTTGTTCTACTCGTGAAGCAGTCTTCGCTTCTTTGGGCCCTGATTCATGAGAACAGGTTCCACGAAATAAATGGACACGCGTCAAAATTAAGGACCCCTGTTCGTATGATTTCGCAAGCTTCAGCTGTTTCGCACACAGCCTTTTGATCTTGGGTATGGCTCTTTCACCGCTTAGGGGCGTTTCCCTTCAGGGCACTTGTTTTTGACAGTTCATGAGCTGTCCACCTGTTTGGTGTCCATGGATACCGATTGTTTCACCCGGTTGGTCAAATGACCGGGTCCCTATTCAAGCGGATCCGGATCCCGGACGAAGCGGGCCGGAAACCGCGCCCTCGATGTTTCACCTCCCAAGAGGAAATGGGATGCAGGCTTGGCTCCCTTCCTAGGCCAACGCTTGACCAACCCTGAACCCACCCCAAACCAACCAATTAGAGGAGACACCTGGCTACGAATTGGAGTAGGGAAGCCCCTCAAAAGTGGCAGTTGAAGACACAATCCCCTACATGTGTATAGACCTTTTCCTAGGACCCCCCGGGAAAAAAAAAAAAAACGAAAACAAAATCAAAATGGGAAAATACACCCCGGTTTATTCATAGAAGGTGTCCCTGGTTCAGTGGGGATTCAGCACTTTATAGGGGAACACATCCCTATAGGACGACCAACACCGTCGCGCCGGGCTGCAGCCAGCGATGCCAGGCCACTGCCGCCTGAGTCTTCACAGGGGGCCCTATGTTTCCCCTTTAAGCATCACGCAAGGAGATTTACAAACCGAAAACTATCCGAGATGGTCAAAACGACAAGAGGACATATTAAGCGAAATGGGAGGGTGCCGGAAAATTACGAGGAAGCACATGAGTCATCATCCCTTCTCCCAATAAGTAAGATCCCCTGAGAATGAACAGGAGTTTTCAAAAAACAGGTCCGAGAATACTAAACTGGAACAGCCAATTCGAAACCAAATCGTAACACATAAAACAAGGATTTCATCCAGCATCCCCAACTCCCGTGGTTTCAAGCAGTCAACCCAAAACCAAATGGTCATCATCCCAAAGCTTCAAGGGTCTTGAGCGATAAGGGTCGAATGGAGACTCCGGGCGCCAGGATGACTATGGGTAGGGCGTCAGAACACGACAAAGTGTACTGGCATCCCGACAGCCAACTGGGTATGTGTCAAAATGGAGTGGCCTAGGTTTTCCCGGCTTCCCCTTTAACGAAACCTCTTTTTTTTCAGGTGTACCGAGCCTCCAAAAAAGCCCCACAAGACGATACACGCGAGCAAACCGCATGCAGCTTGGCAGCAGCCGCACTGGGGCCGGTAGACGGGCGACGCGCCGAAGATCCTGACATGGATTGCTTACGAGTTACTGGGATCTTGCCACCGAAAACATGGCTATGGGTGTTTAAGAGTTGGAACCACCTGAAGTGGACATGCCCCACCCAAGCGTTGTCCACCAAAAGGTTCCGTATTCAAGGAATCACACTCATCTCCCTTTCGGTGATACCAAAATAGGATTCCCATCCCTATGTCCCTGCCACATTTTATTGGGGAATGCAACTTGGCTTTAACAGAAAGTGGCCCCCTGTTTTCCGCACTTGAACGATGCAGTCACAAAAAAAGCCTTTTGTGGGACCAGTTTGGCATACCGAGATAGTCCATACATGTCTGCAGCACCAACCAACCAATAGGTACTAGCACACATTGGGAGAGTTTGCAGGAAATCGGCTATTGGGGGTCTATGTGCCACCGGCTTGTTAGTGTACTACCTTCCTGCGCATCCATTGCCAAACGAGTAGCGCCTCTGATTCGCCTTGTCCCCCCTCCCCCCTCCCCGTGGAACTTTCGGGTTTCACAAAATGTCGACTGACTAACCATCCGACTGATTCTGAATGCGGGTCGCCGTTTTTTTTGTTTTGGGGGGAGGGGGAGTCCTTTCTTCCTTTATTGGGGGCCTTCTTTTTGGGGGGGTGTAGGCAGGGGTCAACCTTTGGGTTTGGGAAAACCCTCCATACAAACACTGGTCTGGGATCGCTGAAACTGACCTGAAGGGAAAGGACCCCCGGAATCAACAACTCCGTTCCAACTTCAACAGGACACCTAAAGGGGAAAGCAGTGTCTTTTCATCAGCCCAGTCTAATCAGGTCTTTGGAGGGCTTGGGTATGGTCCCTAGGAATCCTTGCAACGGTCTAAATTGCCTATGAAGTCAACCACGACCATCCCTGCCACTGCCAAGGAAGCTTCAACCTGACCTGAAAAGGACACCAAACTCTTCCGAATACCTCAAAAAGGCCCGTTGTTTTCCACTTGAGTGGGGGAAATTCGGCAAAGCAAAGGGATTCTGAGAGAACCCAAAGCCCACGCCCACTAAACATATCTGCTCCTGGAGAGGCTGCTGCGTTGAAGCAGCTGGCTGCTGGTGTGGCTGCTCGTCGTGTCCGTTGCCTTCGTTGCCTTCTCCAAAGGCAAGCGAAGCATTCGGGGAGCGGGCGCGGAGCAATGCAGTTCCCGGCTTAGCGGAAAGCCAAAGGCTCCAAGAAACACCTGGAACTTGTCTAATGCTGGACGGCAGCTCTGCAGCTTTTCAGCCAGAGGAAGTTGCAAAAGGAAGCTGGAAAAGGGAACCTCTTGCTGAAATCTTGGAGCCCGCTCATGCAACTGAAGCACATGGAAAAACTCCTGGAAGCGGAGCGACTTTGCCAGAAGCTGCAGCCAAAGTTTGCGTGGAGCAGAGTTTGGGACAATGAAGTGTGAGCTGGCCAGAGTCTGTACCTTGACGTGCAGCAAGCAAGCAAGCAAGCAAACAAAAGAACAAACGAACAAACAAAGAAGCAAACATACGTACAATACCACACACAACCAAGCAGAAAAAAAAGAAACACGACATAACAAACTAACAAAGCGTGATGTGTACACATACATATTTCAAATCCAGAAGCTACCTCCCCAATAACCACTTCTTGCCCGTCAAAGCCTTAACGTCTTACGCGTCAACTGTTTTTGCCTTGCGCATCAACTAGGCTGGCTAAGCCCAAAGTGCTTGGAGGGCTGTGATTCATTTGCAGGGCCCGTAAGCGATCAGACCCCATGATGAATAAACCTCTGTTTGATCAATCGGGGGTCCCGTCAAGAAGGAGTCCTTCACTTTGGGGGAACCACCCAAAAGTCACTCTGCCAGTTTTACTCATCCGTCAAAATGACTTGTTCCCGCCGCTCAAAGGGAATTGAGCAAGTCCCTTGCCTTTTTGTTGGATCTGGGCCCTTTGGAAGCCAGGCCCCATGCAAAATGACTCGCAATCCTCAGAAACCCAAGGGTACACCCAACGTGGAGAGTGTCATTAGAGCTTCCCGGGCCAACCGGGCAGGGCGTCGGTCTCGACGTTTCGGTCACAAGTTGGAACAAGGTACCTTTGGATCTTGGACCTGGTTCCATGGCGACGGAGGCACTTGCAAACGGCTCATTGCATCCTCTTGCCAAGGCTTGATTGGCTTCAAGTACCAAACAGCCTCTTTCGAAATGAGTTCGGCCCTCTGCTACCAGTCGGAACCCCGAAACTCCCTCGTTTCCTTGCAAGAAGAGGAACCTCTGAGTAGTGCTGCTCCGGATAAATCCGAAGCCAAGATTGCCTGTTTCGCAAGGGCCCTTGTGCTGTCAAATCACACATATTTGCTGAATGTACGAACCCATATATGCTAGTTTGTTGATTAACTGACCGCTAATTCTGCTTAATGACCGCTTGTGGGGAGATAAATGAAAAAGGACACAGCTCCAATCGTGGAGCCCCTATTGTCAGAAACCTCCATGTGTCTGCAAGGTCTACAACAACTCCACACCGTGAAGGACGGAACCCCCAAGTAACTAAGTAAAGGACCTTTGCAGAGGGTACCATATATATATACACGTATTGAGGAGTCACCCCCCATTTCCTGACAATATTATGGTGCATGTACCCCCTTCACTACTGAAAATGACGGTGACTATAGGCTTTTGCTCATATGTGTGTCAGACATCGGCGGGGAGGTGGTTCAACCCGTTAGATGCATTGTTCGTATCGGTCTTACCCTTTTTCTGTTAAAGGGACACCAAAAGGAAAGCCGCCATTTTGAGGGGTCCTCTAAGCAAAAAACATGTGCACATCCAGCCCCCTCGGCCAAGGCTTGCACCCAAATATCGCAGCGGGCTCGGCGGCGCAGTGGCCTGCACCCCACACGGAACCTGGTCCCTGGAAGACCCGAGACTTAAAGGGGCTCTTCTGGTTCCAGGCTTTTGGGAGGGGGTTTGTGCTTTTGGGGCTCGGTAACACAAAAAAACATGTCTGGAATGGTTGGATGCCCCTCTTTGAGAAAAATGGTTTGGTCAAGGATACCCTCACAACAAAACACACCCAATTGAATACCCTTGAAAGTTGAACAGTACCAAACCTCCATTTGCCATGGAAAAATGGCCCTCTTTGGGTGGGTAGTTGGTGTCAAAGAGAAACGAAACCACTGGATGGGTAAAGTAAGACTTAGGGTAGTTGATGTTTTCAAGGTTAATTACTCCCCTTCCGCCCGAGCGCTAAGGTGGAGGCTTGGGTCCTTGATGGTCCTTGTAACCTCTCAGATTTGGGCGAGCCGATCTTCCATAAATTCCACGACTGCTACAAAGAGCCAAATCCTTTGGTGATCTAGAGGGAAGGACCGAGGATTGACCAAACCTCTTTGAGCATGGCAGTCCAGAGGGCCACGGCAGTCCAACAACACACAGCCAGCGAACTTAGGCACCCTGCTTTTACGAAAGTCCAAAACAACACAGCTCGAAAATTGACAATCCCCATCCTTGGTTTCTGCCGCGCACTTGCCCTATCGCTATCCCGAGAAGGAATCCAACACTTCTAAAACGGGGGGGGGGGGCTGGAAAACCAATATCCTCTTTCAGGGACCCTGGTGGCAGATTCTCCCAAATTACATGCACATACACGTGCATATGCCTTTTTATATGTATACATGTGTATATATGTTTAATTGTTTGGGTGCTAGTACCTTAGCCTGGGCAGTCCTGCACGGGACCCCCTTTCCTTTTCCGGCGGCTCTCACTGTTGCAGTCTTTGGCCTTGCCTGTCAAACTCTCATCAAGTGGAGCCTGCCTCGTCTCTTCCTTTGCCAGTCTTCTGCAAGACGGCTCAAGTTTCAGCTCCCCCTTTCAGGGGGCACTTTAGTCTACTTCCGGCCCAGTAGATCAACACACCTCTCCCAGGCTCCAGTGGGTAAGACAATGGAAATCAGACAAAGATACTCACACTTCATATTCAATTATGAGTCTACAATCGGGCTACATCTTGGGTAAGCTGGCTTCCCAACTCTCAATTATATAGAAATAAAATGAATGCATATGCTGTGCTCCTACATAGATACGTTGAACATGTATAAGGTGTTTGCTCATAGTCTCACAAATTAAGCCATCATAGCATTAGATCATATGTTTGTCACAGTTGAACCTACTGTCCAACTATGCAAATGGTTTCTACACTACATGAATAGTATACTTTGAGTTTCGGGTCTGAGACAAATTACGTTTCCAAGATGAGTTCACAAACCCTGCGAGGGCTTTCAATTTGTCAATGGTCGCATGGTTCAAACTATACGCTTTACTTCTACTGCGATAATTTTTGTATTTGCCAATATTGTCTAAAGTTAGTAGTAAATCGCACAAACAAATAGGTTGTGCGATGTCCCCCACTTTTGCCAATGAACCAAAGCGACGTTTACTTTGAATTTAGTAACAGTAAGGGAAAGGCGTTGCTTGTGAAAACGCTGGTGAAAACGCTGGTGATGCTGGAGGTGTCAACCACTTTAGCTTACAAACTATCGCAACATTTATTTTCACAAGCGCGAAAACATCTCATTTATGAAAGCACTGGTGACGCTGGGGGTGTCGAAGACTTAGCGTACAGACTATCGCAACATCTGCTTTTAACAAGCGGAAAACGTGTCCTCCATTAAAATACTGGTGATGCTGGGGCACTTTTTTTGCGGACTGTCGCGATACTAAAACACTGGTGACACTGGGGGTGTCAACCACTTTAGCGAAAAAAGACCATCCAAAGCAGACCAAGCCAGGTCGAGCTTGAAAGGCGTCATTTCGTAATTTACTGCGCAAAGAATTTTGATGCCGACGGGCGACTCTCAAAAGTCCAGATTCGAAATCGCGCCACCTACCTTAGTAGGCGCAAAACACGTCCTTTACCAAAACATTGGGGATGTTGGGGGTGTTGACTACGTGGGCTGACATCCATTGTTGGGAAGCGGACAAGCATTTCCTGTACTAAAGCACTGGTGATGCTACAAACTATCACGGCATCTACTTAAAAA